GGCTTATGTCTAGATGTCCCCCCCAAAGCCTCATGCACTCGTAGCTGGGGCTTTGGGGGTGCCTAGATCATGGGTGTGTGATACTGGATTCATGCACTGATGGCTTACAGCCGGGTGTGATGTTGGGCAGAGAAGCCTGGTGGGAGGAGCTGGGTCACCGTGGGCATGGCTGTATGTCCCACCTGCTTCCGAGTGAGCACTTTTTGGTGGGAGCAAGCTTCCATCACGGTGCCGCTCTGCCATCCCTCGGAGCCCGCCCACTACGGATAGAAACGTCTAGAAACTGTGAGTTGAAATAAACTTTTCCTCCTTTAACTTGTGGGTATTGGGTACTTTGCCCCAACAACAAGAAAGAGACTAAGACAGGCTGGACTATCCAGAACCTCATATTAAGATGCATTTTTCTCTAAAAGTAGGAAGGATGATTTTGTGGTCGGTGCTCAGAAACGTCCCTATCACTCTGCCGCTAGGCAGGATTGTCCAGCAGCTCTCCTGAAGCACGGAGTTCATCAGGGACAGAGGAAAAGGGACAGGAAGTGATGAGGCCTTGAAGAAGAATGGCTCTCATTTGATAAGTTTTTGCAATATGAGAGTTTCACTGCAGGAAACAAAGCAAACCAATTGGGTTGTGACATTTTAATGTCAGAACACTGTTGCTTGTGGGAAAACCACTTAGCCGATAAGAGCTTCTGTCTTCATTGGAAGTAGGATAATGTGTTCCTTTGCGGAGTGGATTCAGCAGAATCACATTAACCCATATCGAGAGTTGTCGCAAAAGGCCTTTTTATTTATTTATTTATTTATTTATGTCTTTTTCAAACTGGGTCTCACTATGCAGTTCAGGCTGGCCTTGAGCTCACTTTGTAGCCTAGGCTGGTCTCGAACTTGTGAGGATCCTCCTGCCTCAGCCTCCCAAGTGCTGGGATTACAGGCATGTGCCACCCTGCCCAGCTTCAAAATGCCTTTTTAGAAGCTCATCTCCTTCCGTTGTCCCCTCTCGATAGAGGCTGTAACTTAGGTGGGACAGTTTGGTTGATGTGATAGGAACTTAACTGGCCCTGAAGGACTGAAAGCAGGGGCTTGGAGAGCACTGGAATTGTACCTTCCGGGGCTGCGTCGTTTACGTCATTCTGTCGAGCCAGTTCATCCTGTGGGGTGAGGTGAGGGGCCGTGCAGGGCCTCGTGAGATCTCATCAAGGAGCTGCCTCGGGGCATATGGGGCTGAGAGTCTGAGGAGCAACTGAAACCAGTTTCCACCTTGTTTCTCTGCTATATTAGCTGCTGGTTGCCGCCTTAACAAAGTACCACAGACTCTGCTTTAAAACAACAAAAATGTATCATCCTACAGTTCTGTAGGTCCGAAGTCTGGCAAGGAACTCAATAGGCTAAAATCAACTCATCATCAGAGCCTGGTGCCGTGGTGCACTCCTGGAATCCCAGCACCCTGGCAGGCTGAGGCAGGAAGATTCCAAGTTCCAGGTCAGCCGGGGCACCAGCGATTTAGACCCTGTTTCAAAGAAAAAAGGGCTGAGAATGTAGCTCAGTGCAAAGGTCCTGGGTTCGATCCCTAGTACTAGAAAAAATTATTGAAAAAGTGTCAGCAGGGCTGCATAACATTGTCTCAGAGTCCTTCTCCAGGCCTGTTCACATTCTACAGGCCACTCCCAGCATTTCTTGGTGACCTCCATCCAACGTTCTCAAAGCTAGCCATGTCACACGGCTTTAATCCTCTCGGACAACAGCCAGGGGAGGTTCTCAGCTTTTACGAGCCCATGATTAAACTGGCAAAGCTACACAGCCCAGGGTCATCTCCCCGAGCTGAGGTCTGCACTGTAGTCACATCCGTAGAGCCTCTCTGACCACCTGAAGCTCACAGGTTCGGAAACTAGGACGTGGGTGCCTTGAGGGTCGGCTCTTCTGCACCTGGTCAGGGTCTAAGAATGGACTGGATCTGAGCAAGACCACAGAGAGAGCCCTTCCCTGAGGATTTCCTAGCTTGCTTACACAGAAGTATTTTCTCTCTGGATAGAAATCTTTAAGATGTGAGTTAGTGTCCCCAGAGTTATGTCCCTCGGTGAAATAAATTGGTTTGAAACAAAGTGAAACTTTCATCCACCTTCAAATGTTTTCTCAAATTCTAAAATTGTCCCAGGGCTGGGGATAGAGCTCAGCAGCACAGCGCCTGCCTGGCAAGTGCAAGGTCCTGAGTTCGATTCCCAGTACCCTAAAAGAAAAAAAAAATTGTCCCACAGTCATATATATGTGTGTGTATACGTGTATATATATATATATATATATATATATATATAATGCATAATTCAGGAGTTCTGACCTCCATAATCACTCTCACCTCTTTTCCTTTTGCCGTTTTTACACGACATTATTGAACTATTATTTACCGAATGCGTGTTGTGTGTGCAGCCCTGTGATACCCTGTGCTAAGCATTTTATAACATCACTGTGGGAGAGGGTTACGGATGTGGAAACTAAGGCCCCAGGGAGTTGAGTAAATTGATAAATCTGTGTAACTAGTATCTGCAGAGCTGGGATTAAAGCAGGCTGTCTGGCTGTTTCTACACAAACTGCCTAATGTCTCTATTCATTCCCTCATTTATGCAGCGTCTATTGTTGGGCATGTAGGTCTTCCGGGAGGGCAGGGAGGATCTGTGGGCGTGTCCTTTCCCTTCCCAGTACTGACCTCGGTGATTGATGTTTTCCCCACTACCTAACATGACACTTATTACATAATACCAATCTACAGAGTTGGGGCTCCCTTTTTTTTTTTTTTTTTTTTTAACTTGGAAAGTCTGGAATAACAAAGATATACGCAGCTCTGAATTGGTACAGTTGCATCCAGGATTTGTAGTCAAACCCAGCCAGTGCATGCGAGGCTTGCTTGGTACAGGACTTCCTGTCCGAATCCTGTCAAGTCACTCCGGCAGGCGGTAGGCTGGCGCTGCTCAAACTTCAAGTCTCTAATGAAAGGAAGTTCATTTGGGTTAAGTTCATCACTGGAGCGAGCTCCTGAAAGAAGTCATTCAGACTATTTGTATAGCAAGCTTCCTGTATCATTTTATGGCTATATTTCTGTCATCGACACAGCCAAGCTGCACATGCTAGTGAGTAGCACAGCCACGCTGTATTTCTCTTTTTTTTTTTTTTTTTTTTTGGTTTTTCTCCGGTACCGGGAACTGAACTCATGACCTTGCGCTTGCCCGGCAGGCGCTTTTGCCGCTGAGCTAAATCCCCAGCCCATGCTGTATTTCTCAAATCAGCAATGAGGGTCCAACGTTAGTATAAAATCTCCACCTCTGGTAGGGCAGCCTCTTTGTCATCTTTTGAACACTGCCTGTATTTTGTAAAGATGATAAACAGCTTTAGTCAATTTGCACTGCGCCCTGGGCCTCAGCTTTAATCAATTTGTGTTACTTTCTTTCGGTGGGGGGCGCTCCCTTTGCTAGCAGGTGCCGGAAACTGTCTGCAGATGGTGAAGTGGCCGGCTGATTGGGACAGCGGCAACTCAATCTGGCGAGACAGTGCCAGCCCTTAGAGGGCAGTGTGGTGACACAAGTCAGAGCAAAGGACCGCGCAGCAGCTCAGATCCCGGCGGGGTTTACTGCACACTCCCCAGTGGAACGGTCTTTAATCCTCCCACCCTCGAAACGCGTCCCGTGTTTTACTAATAGTGATTTTCACATGAGCATGCCCGCCAGTGACAGTTACACCTTAGACGTCCCTTACGCTGCTCTGGCGGTCCCATTTCTCACAATTTCTCATTACCCTCCTTACACCCGCGCTTCCCACGACGTTGGGCATTCTGAGGAGCGCAAGTCTCCCTCCTCCTGTGTTGTTCAGGTTTCCTTTTTGTCTCCCCTGCCCGAGCTCAGTTTGTGCGTTTTATAGGGAAGAGAAGTTCAGTTTCCATCTCTCGGCCAGCTACCTTTGCGAATCTCAAGCCTCACTCCCCAGCACGCTGTGGTAAGCAGAAGGGACACACGTCTACCCTGACTTTAGCGGCTAGGTCTAGCAGAGGCTGGCTTGTTTTGACATTGGTTCATTTGCTTTCACCCCCTCCCCAGCAGAGACTGTCTTTCCCTGATACCACAACCAGTCCCTCTATTCAGTATTAGGTAGTATCAGCCAATTTAATAAGAATAAGTTTTCTGGAAATGCCAGTCCTGGGGAGGTGAAACTTGGTATCAGTGGCACAGTATATGATGAAGACCTAGGTATGGCCTGAGTAATACATGTAAAGCTTCATCTGATGACTGACTTTTTCTCAATTGTGGTTTTCATTTGTTAATTCCTCCTCAGTTAGTAAGGTTTGACTAAGTGGATGAATGAATCGGTGGATGGTGGAATAAATGTTTTGCATGTTAATTTTACTTCATCTGGGCTAGTCAGAGACTTACAAGTTTTTAGTTTATTTATTTACTTATTTTTGGCCTTTTTTTGAGACTGTGTCTCACTATGCAGTTCAGGCTCACCTTGAACTCACTGTGTAGCCCAGACTGGCCTTGAACTTGCAGATCCTCCTGCCTCAGCCTCCCGAGTGCTGGGATTATAGGCATGCACCACCACACCCGGCTTACACATTTTTATTCTAAAACCAATGCAATATGAGAAAAAAAAGTTCTAAACAATCATTTTCTTGTAGAAGCCATAGCCTTACTCCCAACATCTTCTCTGTGACCTACTACCAAAACAGAATAAATTGCTAAATAGCATTGACAGTACTATTAAGTTAAGGCAAAACTAGAAAATGATCCACCCTAAAATCCAGACAGCAGGTTTAGATGTATGTCACCCTTCACACCCACAGCAAAAGCAAAAGCAAACAAAATAAAAATTAAAACATAAAATCAGCATTAAAAACTACATCAAACACTAAAGCATACCAAGGCATATAGGACGCACTGATCGGACACACTGATTGCTATTTCTCAAATCTCCTTCTCGCTTCCCCACGCTCGGCAGTCTGTGCTTTCTGGGTTGATTGGATGACTGGGAGTCCGCCAGGCAGAGGACAACAACGTTCAGACCGGCAGAGGGAGCAGCGTGCTCAACAATGAAGAGGAAGGAAGCTGCATTCTGGGCTGTAGTTCAGCGGGTGGAAGTGTAGGGCATGAAGATCTCCGGGAGGGCAGGTGGTCAGTCAGGAACTACTGGTGGTGTTTCCTGAGTGTAGCAGACAAAGTGAGCGCAAGCAAGAGCGACACAGCGTCTGATGACTTCTGCAAGCCACCGCAGCCCCAGGGGATGGGGATGAGGTGAGAGAGAAGGGGGAGTCCGGGAGTACTGGCGGTAATTGGAGCCAGCGATGGTGGGAGGGCTGGGAGGGTCTATGTTTTTGTTTTTGTTTTTGTTTTTCTTTTTTTTTTTCTGGTTTTTCTCTGGTACCGGGAACCGAACTCACAACCTTGCGCTTGCCAGGCAGGCGCTTTTGCCGCTGAGCTAAATCCCCAGCCCCCGGGAGGGTCTATGGAAATGAAGACACCTGGACAAATTTAGAAAAGGCACACTGGTCTAAAGAATTTAAACGGGGGCAAAAACAGGCATGGTCAGAATGGGCAATAGGACATGTACAAGGAGATAGAAGAATATTAAAAACAAAACAAAAATTAGAACCAAGAAGGAAAAAAGAGGGGCAGATGTAGCTCAGGGGTAAAGTACTTGCCTAGCGGGTGTGAGGTTCTAGGTTCAATCCTCAGGACCGCAGAGGGGCCCGGGAGAGGAGAGAGAGATACAAACACAGCGAGTGAGCACTTAGTTCAAAATATATTTCAACCTCCACTGTTTTTCTTTCCTTCAGAAGCCAAAAGCTTAAAAACTGCATTTCCCCAGTGTTCTTAGAATCAGGTGTTCCAGCTATAATTTGAGTTACATGAAGCAGATGTGTTAACTCCAGGCTTAAATTCTCCACCGAATTGTGAGAGGCCAGAGGAGATGCAAAACACTTCCCCAGGCGTGCGCAGACCTCGGGAGGCCTGATGTAGTTCCGGTGTTCAGGTTCCGAGACCTCCTCCTGGTTCCCTGAGTTCCCTGAGAATCTGCGCCCGCCTGTGGGAAATGCATCCGAGACTAGCTTCTGGTGACCCAAGCATATGGCTTACAGGGGGGTAGCCCCGGCGCCTGCGTCCTCCTGGCACAGCCTGGGGCGTGCGCGTCGTCTGCCCCACGCGCGTCCCTCTGGGTCCTAATTCCCCTCCTCCACGGGCCCAGCCATAGGAATTAGCGCTCACTCTAGTGACTGCATTTTAACTTCATTGCCTCCTAAAGATTTATTTCCTCGTGAAGTCACATTCTGGACCCCGGGGGTGAGGACGTCAGTATATCTTGGTGGGGGGGGCGGGCGTTGAGGGAGGGAGCTCCATCACCAGGAAAACATTTAGTAATTCATCAGATACTCTCGAGTCCTCCTTTCCCAGCCTCCTTTCCGGTTAGGTCGGACGGAGCTAGTTTGCAGTCCCTGTGCGCGCAGTGATGCGCGCCCCTCTGGGCCTTGCTCAAGTGCTGTAGCTCTCGTCCTCCGCTTTACCTACCTCGGAACCGCGTGTTGAGCTGGTGTCGTAAGAAGATGCCCAACCCTGCGCCAGCCCGGCCCTGTTTGGTTTTTTGGTGTTGCTGGAATGCTAAACCTGTGCCCTACCACGGAGCTACATCCTCAGCCTGCAGCCCGAGACCCTGAGTGTCTCTGCAGAACAGGGTCCCGATGAAACATGAGCAAAAGTACGCCTTGACGGTACCGAGACACTGAACCCAAAGGTTTGTCTGTTGCAGGTGATATTAATTATTCTCATTAATACATGAGGTTTTTGCTGTCTGCCACCTAACCCTAAGGGATACATTAATAAAAAGTTACTGCCTTGGGGAGTTCGGGTTGTGTTCTGACGTTGGCTTTTAAAGCATCTACGAAAATAAAAGTCAGATATGGTGGCACTACCTGTAATACCAGCACTGAGTGAGGCTGAAGCAGGAAGGTCACAGGTTGAAGTTCCTGACCTAGAAAAACCCGACTGCCAGATTTTTAAAAAATTTAAAGTGCTAAGGATTCAGTGCAAAGGCCCTGGGGTTCAATCCCCAGTTTAAAAAAAGTCCACGGTTTCTCCAACAAACAATATCCAAGGAGAGGAGTTTAAATCAGTGTCTGTCTGTCTGTCTGTCTCTCTCTGTATGTGTATATGTACATGTATATGTATGTCTGCCATCTGTTTGAGCTGCCATAAAAAGACACCACAGACTGGGTATTTTAAACAACAAACATTAACTTTCTTCTAGGGCTGGAGACCGGAAGTGGAAGATCCAGGTGTGGGAGGTTGGTTTCTGCTGAGGCTTCTCTTGCAGCCTGCACCTGTGTGTACCCGGCCAGCGCATGAGCACAGCTGGGGCTGGAACCCAGGGCCTCACACAGCCCAGGCAAGCGCTCTGCCAGTTCCACACAAGCCCTCTTCCTCTCCCTCTCCCTCTTCTGAGTGACACCAGTTCTGTCAGGTTAGCCTCCACCCTGAAGACCACGCTCAATTTTACGTCTTTTCAAAACAGTACTCTGACATTAGGAGGTCGGGCACATGAATTTGGGGGTTCGGACATGACAAAGTCATTAAATGAAGGATGGAAACTAAGGAACGCTCCCCGTCTCTGATCACACTTTGCACGTGAGAGCCACGGGTGGCTTCTTTGTGATCACCACACTTCCCGATGGTCAGACGCAGACATACAGTATGGGTGAGCTCATACCACGTGTGTGTTCTTTTTCTCACTTGCAGAGAAGACTCCTTTCACTGCAGGATTTTTTTACTCATCACTATTACAGGTACCTGTCAGATCATTCCATAAAAATCCCAAAATATTCTTTCCAACAGCTGCATAGTATCATCTTAAAGGAATTATGAAAGTTGAACTGTTTCCTCTGATAGATAGCTCTGCATGTCTTTTTTTTTTTTTTTTTTTTTTTTTTAAAGACAGGACCTTGCTATGTAGTTCAGGCTGGCGTTGAGCTCACTATGTAGCCCAGGCTGGCCTTGAACTCAAGGTGATCCTGTCTCAACCTCCCAAGTGCTGGGATTACAGGTGTGCACCACATCAGACTACATTTCTTATTATGGGGACAACACTGCAGAAAATATTCTTGCATATTTTCATACTTCTGTTAATATTTCAGTAGGGAAGATCCCTAGACCTCATATATCCATTTTTAAAATCTGAATAGATACTGCTTTCCAAAAATGGTACCAAACCAGGTCCAATGATATCCTGTATATAATCGCAGCTTCCCACGAGATAAAAGCAGAAAGATTGCAGGTTTGAGGCCAGCCTGGGCAACTTAGTGAGACTTTTCACCATAAAAAGCGGGACTTGGGGGTGTAGCTAGCTCAGTGGTAGAGCACTGGCCTAGCATGTTCAAGGCCCTGGGTTCAGTCCAGGACTGCAGAAAAAAAATGCCAGTTTATGCTTCTTGTAAACATGTTTAGGAATACATTTTTCTCATACCCACCCTGGAGTAGTATCAACATTTTCAGTTTTCCAACTTTATAGGTTAAGCAAGAGTTTTATACCTGGGCACGGGGGCAAGTGGGAGGATCTCCTCAATCCAAGAGCTGGGGGGGTGATGGGGCTGGGGATTTAGCTCAGTGGCACAGCACCTGCCTGGCAAGCACAAGGTCGTAAGTTCGATTCCCGGTACCAGAAAAAAACCAAACAAACCAAACAAACAAACCAAGAGCTCGGGGCCAGTCTGGGCAACACAAGGAGACATCCACTCTTAAAAAATGTTCAAAAATAGGCTTAAAAGCAATTATTTTCCCCTAAAAGAGATCATTGTTTTTATTTGTATTCCAGTATTAGTGAATTTTTGCCTATATTTTTAACCTTTTCCTGTAAATTAGATGTTCAGGTTTTTTGTTCATGTTTTCCATTGCACTGATATTTTGAAACATTCACCTGTTTGCATGTTTTGTGTTTATTACACACGTTCCGTTGCATGTGCGGCCAGCGCTTTCTCTCCGCAGGCCCCTGACTTTGATATGGGTAGTGCCGCTCCTCGCTGTGCGGAAGTGAAGTCACGGGACCGAGTCTGGTGGCGTGTGCAAGGGGCCTGTGCTGGGAATAGGGTCAGGCGTGTGAACTGCGCTGGGGGGAGGAGGGGAAAGGGCCGCACCCCTACTAATGCCTTCTTAGTGCCTCTCACAGCACTGTATGCCCCTTCCTGAACGCAGCCCGGCCCATTTGCCCACATAAAAGCTTGGAGTCGGAAGAGGACGGTTTTAGAAGCCCGTCAGTATCCATGCTGAGCTCTTGTTTGCACCCTGGAAGCCTCTGCTACCCCGGGGCTTTGACCAAGGTCTCTGAGCCGCGAGGGACCAAGAATGGGGAAAACAGCAGCAAGCTTTTGGAGACACTGGAAGAACGTTTGGAAAAGTGTGACAGTGCGGATTTATGTGTAAAATAGATTTATATTTGGATTTGTATCGAACATAGACTTTCCAAAAACAAGAGTCAGGGGTGCAATGCAGAGCAAAATACGAACACTAAAGGTCTTACACTAAAAAGGCCTAAAGGAACAGTAATGTTTTCCATCATTTTCCATTTTAGTCCTACTGTGGACATTTACAAGTAAGGAAACCAGGCTGGGGATATAGCTCGGCGGCACAGCGCCTGCCTGGCTAGCGCAAGGTCCTGAGTTGGATACCCGGTACCAAAATAACAAAAACCAAAGAAACCAGGGCTCTGCGAAGTTAAAAGGTGCACCCAAGCCAGGCGCGGTGGCACACACCTGGAATCCCAGCACTCTGGAGGCCGAGGCAGGAGGATCACCACAAGTTGGAGGCTGGCCTGGTATAGAGTGGGTTCAAGGTCAGCCTGAACTATATAATGAGACCCTGGCTCAAAAAAAAAACGAAAGTGTCCTAGTTTACAGCTTCAGTTACTAGCAGAGCTAGAAGTAGAATTCAGTTCTTTTGACTCTCAATTTGACCAAACTTCCACAATTAATTTTTTTTTTGTCTTTTTGAGACAGGGTCTTGCTATGCAGTTCAGGCTGGCCTTGAGCTCACTTTGCAGCCCAGGCTTGTCTTGAACTTGCAACGATCCTCCTGTCTCAGCCTCCCAAGGGCTGGGATTACAGGCGTGGGCCACTTCACCCAGCCAACTTCCACGATTATAGAGTTCCCGTATCTCTGTACATAGCACCTAACTTGTAGATTTTAAGGTGACTGTTAGCAGGATTGTAAGAATTCAGTAAGTTTAAAATGTCAGATGATTCAGGCTGAAGCCAGCTGTGCTCTTTGCTAGATGGATCCAAACTCAGGTCAATCCCAGCCGCCCAGAAGCAGCATCGCAGAGCTTCGCCCTCAGATGCAGACTTCCCCAGGCCTTGCCTTGCTTAGGCAGTCAGCTCCTGGGATTCACAACCCAGCTGCCCAAGGCTCTCACATCTCTGTCCGCTCGCCTCACCTACAGGTTCTCCAAAAGCCACTTCCCTGCCCTTGCTTACACCTTGTGGCAGTGTGTGACAGATGTCACGTCCCACCCTCCAGGTCTCTGCCAGAACGTTAGCATGCTGACAGCTGGCTACTCTGAATCACACCCAGGACATGCGTCCTCAAGCTGGGAGCTTCTCTGAAAGAAGAAAAATCTAAATCTATCTATCTGTCTATCTATTTTAGGAGGGGCGGGCATTAATTAAACAACAACAAAGGGTGTAAAGGAGAAGGTAAAGAGTCACATGCTGGTTCCTAGTCAGTTCTTTTGCTCTAAAATTGACTATGGCCAGGCCTGGTGGCACATACCTGTAATCCCAGTACTCAGAAGGTTGGGGCAGGAGGACTGTTGCAAGTTTGAGACCAGCCTGGGCTACAAAGTGAGCTCATAGGCCAGCCTGCACTGCATAGCGAGACCCTGTCTCAAAAAGACAAAAAATAAAAATAAAAATACATAAAGTTGACTACCACTAGGAGTTTCTTGGGTATGCTTTCCAGAAATTTTAGGTATTAAAATTAATACTCTAATAATAATTGCTTTTTTGGAAATTTTCTTAGGTATACTTTCCAGAAACTTTAGGTATTAAAATTACTTTAATACCTTAATAATAATTACTTTCCATGGGCCAGGGGTTTAGCACAGTGGTATAAGCACCTGCCTGCCAAGTACAAGGTCCTGAATTTGATTCCCAGTACCAAAAAAAAAAATTACTTTCCAGGAAGTGTTTTAGGTATACTTTCCAGAAATTTTCCATACATTTTTAAAGCAGCAGTTCACAAGGAATGCACACAGGGACTATAGTGAAATGTGATGAACTGTAAGAGTGCTACTGATTTACAATTTTTTTAAAATACTTCCACTTATTGTCTTGAAGGCATCTTTCCAAAGCAATGAATGCAACATCACTTCCTTCTTTGATAACCCTTGTAAATGTATGTGTGTAGGTAGGTTGGGGAACACTGTTTATTTCATTTTTTTAAAAAAGTATATGATTTCCTCAAAAGTATGGTATGTACCACTAAGAGAGCCTGAAAATTTGTCATCAGAGTACTTACTACCAAGCATTCCTTATGTCACATAATTCCGTGAGAAATGAGTGGCCTTGGTTAGTTTTATCTATACTATCTGAGCCTTAATTTTTCCATCTGCAAAATGGGACTAACAGTACCTGTAGAGAGTGGTTGTAGAATCTGGTGAGATGACGTGGGTAGGACCTCCTGGTGCAAGGGGAATGGGGTATGTGCAGGCAGGGTAGTGTATTTTTTAAAGTACGGGCTTTATAGGCAGACAGAATTGTGCCAGAATCCATGCTCTGTGAATTATTTACCAGTTCTAACCCGAGGTGAGGCTCTCTGAGCTTCTATTTCCCTGTCTGTAAAACACTCAGATAGAAAGGGGTTTGTGAGATTTAAAACAAAATAAGGTATGTAAAGGGCTTACCAGAATATGTATTTTATAAAATGTCCTTATAAATGTAGTCACTATTACTATCAAATATAGGCCTTGGAGCTAGAGCTGAGCTTAAAATCTGTCTGTCATTCCTTAGTTGTTTGTCCCCAAGAAGTTGTCTTCATCACTTTCCTCTTACTGGAATAAAATACCTGACACAGAACTCAGAGGAGGAGAGGGTTATTTTTTTATTATTATTATTTTTTTTTTTTTTTTTTTTTTTTTTTTTTTGCAGTACCAGGGATCTAACTCATGACCTTGCGCTTGCCAGGCAGGAGCTTATGCCACTGAGCAAAATCCCAGCCCTCATGTTTTTAGTCCAAGGCAGGCAGACATGGAGGAAGGGCCAGGCCAAGGAAACCTGCTCATATCATGGCAACCAGGAAGCAGAAAGAGGGGCGGAGCCGGAGGGGAGGAGCTCTCTCACTGGAGGGAGAGCCTCCTGCCAGTGAGGAACCTTTAACCAGGCCCCACCTCCTGACATCCCATTAGCTCTAGCGCCCCATGACTCCTACGAGAGCAGTAACTTTGGGGGGACATCAGATATCAGCCTTGACTTCCTCATCCTAACGCACAGGATTGTGAGGATGGAACAGATGCGAAGCGCAGTCGGCAAAGCGTGGTAGACGCATGGTCCTAGCTCTGTGTTCAGTCTTCAGTGGGAACGCGTACCAGTCACCTCTCTCTCTCTCTGTCCTTCCCAGCTCTGCACTGGACGGATGTGGTGGCAGCACCTGCTCAGGCACGTTGCAGCTGGGGTTTGAAAGCATGAACCTCGTTCTCCTTTGCGATCGTTAAATCTTTTCAGGTCCTTCCTGCAGACCCGCCTTAAGCAACAGTTCACAAGGAATGCAGACAGGGGCTGCGATGAAATGTGATGAACAGCAATAAAAAGTACTCAGATCAGAGTATTAATCATTTAAAACCACATTGTTCTTATGGTGTGAAACCAAAAGTGTAAATAAGGAGCAAAACGTATATTAGGTACTGTGAAATAAGAAGAAAATGTACAGATGGGGATGGCAACAAGGAAGGCGAAGGAGGAAAGGAAAGAAGGGAAAAGTAAAAAAGGTGAGAAGAGAAAGAAAATATGGACACAAAGCTTTTGAAAATGGGAGGGGGATGAAGGGAGGGGAGGGGGCTGGAGGGGGGAGGGGGATGGAGCGGGGGATGGGAAAAAGAAGAATTAAGGTACCTCATGTACAGTACAAGTTCCCTATGATGAATGTGATCATCATGCATCTCTAAAATGTACCAATAAAATCTGATTGAAGAAAAAGATTAATCATTTAAATAAGAAACCCATATAAGACTTTTCTTCAGGACATATATTTTCTCAGAAAATAATTTTTCAAACAACAGCTAACTCCAGTTCCAGGTCCTCGCTGCCCTCACAAGTTCAGTTGACAGGATTATAATGGCACGGGGCAGATGGGGAGGGGCCCTGGAGACGGAATCAGGCACGTAGCAAAAGCCAAGTAGCAGAAACACCCAAGAAGGGGAGAGGTTAGAGAAACAGGGCACTCTAAAAAAGAAGTCTAGAGATCACGGTTCAAGGCCACGTAAGGACAGGGAGCCTTTAGCTCTGCAGGTCACAGGTCATGTTCCCAGGGCACGGGGATTCAGGCTATTCTTGTCTGTCCATGAGTTCCCAGATTTCATACAAGAGATAAGTAGCCACTTTACTCAAGGGACCTTAAAAATTCACCAACTGGAGACTGAGAATCTTAAGAAAGTACTGCAGGCCCTTCAGTCTTTGTGAAAGGATGCTAGCATCTTTCCATTTGGTTCGGGGGGAAGTAGAGCATTGGACAGGAGGCGGATGAAAGGGGGATAGGGCTAAGGTCGGTCAAATGAGCACCCTATCTCTGTTTCATTCACACCTGGGAAAAGGCCAGGGGACTTGGAAGCCAGAGAAGTACAGGATCTGGAGCAGGGCTTCTTCATCTGGACCCCATCAGCATTTGGCATTGGGCAATTGTGGGGTGTCTCATCCATTGTTGCTGTTATGGCTTGTACCTAGATTGTCTCTACAGAGCTGCATGGGGCCATAGGTGCAGAGTTTCAAAGATGGCTGGATTAGGGTGTGTGAATGCGGATTAAGGGCATGATACTGGGACCACGGGGATGGGTAACGAAAGCCCCATCCTGGGTGTAGGTGACTCTCTTAGTTACTTTTCTCTCATTGCTGAGAGCCTCTTTCTGTCCCTTATATCATATGGAGGCTACCCACCCCAGGGCGGGTGTAGCACTCATACCCTCAAACCCAGCACCACCGTACATGAATCAATCACACACTCTAGACTCAGCCACCCTCGAAAAAACCCTATGATCACATGAAGCTTTGAGGGAACATTTACACATTAACTACAACAGAACTCTCCGTAACCAGTTAAAGATGCTCCTTAAAGCTTTATTTAAAACAGCAAAAGATGGTTTGCTCAGTAATTGTGGCAGAGAAGAAATGAAATAATTTCTATAAAGTTTCTGGAAGAGTATCTAGCACATATTAAGCATTCAAACCTTTTTGGAGATGGAGAAGTGCTTAGGGTACAGTGTTCAGTGAGATTATCAGAACTCAGACTACAAATAGAGCTCCATTTTTAAAAGAGAGATCTTGCCAGGCATGGTGACGCATGCCTGTAATTCCAGCACTCAGGAGGCTGAGGCAGGAGGATCATTGCAAATTTGAATCAATTTGACCAGCCTGGGCTACAAAGTGAGCTCAAGGCTAGCCTAAACTGTATAGCAAGACACTGTTTCAAAAAGACAAAAATAAAACAAAATAAAAAATAAAACAGCAACCTGCCAACTCCCCACAAGAAATGTAATTTTTACTGCAAATATGTACTAATAAAATTGAAAAAAAAAATAGACCTGCATTTTGGGAATTTTAGCTTAAGATTGAGCTGTGACAGTCTACTCCTCGAGCGCAGTCTTAATTTCTGGCATGGAAAAGCTTGGAGGAGTTGGCTTTGATTTTCTTATAGGAAGGCGTTTAAAGGAGAAGCTAGGGGCAAAAGCAGCTGGGAGGGCCAGAGAGAAGGTGCACTGGGGACAGTTACTCCCTGCAGCAGGAGACGAAGGGTGGCGCGCCGGACCCAGGCCGCCATTGTAGGAAAGCAGCTAAAGTATCAGTGAGGACCAAGCAGCAGGAAACTGTGGTGACCGAGAGAACATTAACTAAACAGATCCAGGCTCTGCCCAAGTGCAGCACAGAATGTGGTTAGTCACATGCCATGATCTGAGACTCCCAGAGGCACTCGTGAGCAATACCAAATGACCTCTAAATAGCTTTCTAGTGAAGTTGGGCCCAGCTGATGCCACACCTTCTTAGTTTGTCAATAGTAAGCACGTACAATTCTCTCCCCCAAACTGAAGGGCACAGAATACAGTAGAAGTTGCCAGGTGCCTCTAGAAGTTTTACTTCTTTGCTTTGCCTTCTCTAAATTAACACTAAATAGGCATTTAAGTAGTATTAATTTCGAGCCAGGCACAGTACACCTGTAACCCCAGCACTGAGGGAGGCTGAAGCAGGAGAATCTCAAGTTCAAGTCCAACCTAAGCAATTTAGCAATTTAATGAGACCCTGTCTCAAAAAATAAAGGGCTGGGGATGTAACTCAGTACATAGGTCCTGAGTTCAGTCTCCAGTATCACAAATAAAAGTCTTAACTCTGAAGAGTGTCCAATTGTTGCTGTTATAGGCAGCTAAATTAGATAAAATAATACAGGCAGTCAGACAGGGCTGGGCCCTCAAAGGAGCCAGTGCAGAAGACAAGATACCTTGCAACTGTCGGGGAGACAGGGACCTCCACTGTGGGCCAGGTCTCAAGGCAAAAGATGAAACAAATATACCCACATAGTTCCTAAGGATAAACATCGGGGGCTGATAGTCTAAGTAGGTTTTGATCACCTTGAGGAAGCCAGGAAGAGTCGCTAACCCAACCCCCTACAAGAAGAGCCCTTGTTCTGTATTTATGCCCGCTTGCTGTGTGACTTGCTCCCCCATTTGATCCCAATTTAATCAATCTTACCTGAGCAATTATAATCTTAACGATTGACCATAGTTTTGTCCCACCTCGTGCCCACCTTGTGGTTTCCCATTTTCCCGCCTTGGACCCACCTCACCTCATGGATTTGTCCTATAAAAATCCCTACAAAAGACAGAGTCCTCGCCAACCCACTCGGGACCCCTCTGTCTCTCTCTCAGACAGATGCTTTCTTTCCTTAAATAAATATATTCTGCTCTTAAGCTCCATTGTTCCTAAAATTCATTCTTTGATTTTAGTGAACACGAACCCATCCCAGACATCTAGCAGGTTGGGAGTTTCTTTCCCCTGTCTCACTGCTTTGCCTGGGAGCTTGTGTGTCCCCTCTGGTCCTGACCTCGGTCTGTCCCACAGCCCATTTCAGAGCCCCACAGATGGTGAGAGTGTTGCCGGATGCTGCCGGTTGATTTTTTTGGTACTGAGGATTCTGTCTGTGTGGAGCCTACTCCCCGCCCACCTCAGAAAACCCTGGCAGCTACTGTGCCAAAGCCGAGAAGACGGAAGGACTGTCTGAGTGCTGATGGCTGCTACCAGGCCAGCGATGTCGTTTCCTTGGGTAGGTGAGGTGGATGGTAGCAGTTCCTTCAAAATGCCATGTTTCTTCTTAGACTTTAAATATATTTGGGGGACTGGGAAAAAATGGAAAACACAAAAAAAGAACACAACAGCCATGTTCATCAGTGTTCTTTTTAACTCACAGACATTGATGTTTATGCGGCTGTTTGAGAAGCGTCTCCTCCCCGTGGTATGCTTTGGGCTTTCATGGTTTGTTGCTCTGTTTTTTGAAGCTTGAAATGTGTAGCTTGTTCCGGTGTGCTTTTTCTGTTGTTTGAAAACAATAGTGTAAGGCGCAAATCAGACCTGACTCCCCCAGTACCCAGGCTGTCCTTGGCAAACACAGGATGTCGTAAAAGAGATAAGATAGGGCAATGAGCCTTGCAGGTCCCCAGACATCTGGAGACACCCAAAAATTTACACTGGACACTGCAAGGATTCTGCCTACTAAGGTACAAGATAGCCAGAGAACTTTGACCTCTAATATTTATTAACATCTCCTGCCCATTGTCCCTTGCTTGCCTTCTTTCAGTCCCTATAAAAATGCCCTCTTCTCTTTGTTCCCTACAGACGGCCTTATCGCCCTCTGTCTGCCTGCAGCCAGTATTAAACTATACGCTTTGTTGCTTTCACAAAAGCCTGTCCAGTGGTCTCTGCCTCGTGGTCATTCCTTACAAATAGAAACTTAGATCCTCTGTGGAGTTAGAGATTTTTCTGTCTTCTTTTTTTCTTTTCTCTTTTTGTGGTGTGGGGGGTTGCTGAGGATTAAACCCAGGGCCTCATCAGGCTCATAGTTTATGCTTTTTTTAAACAAATGGAAGTATACAGGAAGCCACATGTGCTGAGGAGCTCTCAAACTTGGGAATGGGGAGTACTCAGCCTGGCATCTTTTTATTCTCATGCAGTTTCTCTTTCCAGTAGTCTGCTAGTTTCATTTGGATCCCTTAAATAAGCAAATCCTTGCTATACAGTAAAGCAGCACTGTAAATCATCAGCCCTGGCTCTTTTACTATATTTGGATCATGGTGTGATTTCATAACATTCGGAGTGGTTTGTTTGTATTTCTACTGTAAATCTAGTTAAAACTAGGTATTTCTCTTGTTTTTATTTAACTTTCATGACGACTTAGATGAAATTACAGCTGATAAGAGTGAGGTCACAAGTTTTCCTTGTGGCTGTTGACATGCACGCATTTTGTGACAGTTAATGACTCAATATTTTAAAATAGCCAGGACACTTTGTTTATAAAAAAACATATCTTCTGATTACAAGAATGACAAAACATGACTAGAGAGGA